CTACTTCTTTGGTTGCTGCCCTCCATGACTTTTTTCACAACGAGGTTTTGTCCAATGGTGTCAAATGCTCCACCTTTGGCCATGTGCAATCTACGATAACTCCTTTGTCTTGGTATAACTCAGATATTAACACAACAAATGGGAGTGAAGGCTTCTTGACCTTAACAGTCACCATCATTTGGTCTATTATCAATATTGGCAAATCAATAATGTGTCTCATTCCGAAGGCATACAGAAAATAGGCTCTCTCAGTGTAAATTTGGTTTTTCTGGGATTAAGGCAATAGATTGTTTACAATAATCAAATTCGGGATTCTTTATTTATCGGTTAGGTCCCCTTACTTTATGTACTTATTCGGCCTACCCCAAACATATTCTGGATTCCCAATCAACTTGATCACAATGACTGTCATATCAGTTAATGTGGTATAAGGATACCGTGGGTGCTGATCCCTTGGGATTGGATTCAAAAAATTAGCAATAGTAGCCGGTATAATTGGAAACACAATTCCCCTAACGTAGACACAAAACTGTTATGGTTCGGTTTCTTTTGCATTACTATAAAATTTCATACTAAGCATTCATATGCAGGACCTACCAATTTCACATAGTTAAGCCAATTTTCTGCTCATAAATTTTGCATAACCTATATTTGTTCAAAATCCTCATATATAATAGGTCTCTCAAAAATAATAGGCTTAGAATAAAATAATTGTCATACCAAACCTGCTGATCAATATTTTCAAAGATAGCAGTGTCAAATACATTCTGACCATGGGGTTGTTCTTGCTACTATGGGGCTACTTCAGGTGGTGACGAGGCTCCTCGCCTTGCTCAGCTTGACAAAGCTCTTATTCTTGCTCTTGGATACATGAGTTCTTGAATTTCTAGATAAATAGACTATTTCAAAGATTTTTAATCAGTGAAAACCTATAAAAGGTTGTGGGTAAGTGTTTAATAAGAGTAGAATTCAAGAAAAACTGAAGGGTGAAGTAAATCTGAAGAGAGAAGATGAAGAAATTTGTTATTTTTTTTGGAAATTATGCTACGAGGAAACTGCTGGACTGTTCAATTTCGCAAACTGTGGGCTTTATATTGCGCAGTACCATCTGGATGCTATCAACACCATTCAGATGGTGATGATCCTCTGGAATCTCCTTGGGCTTGCAAGTTGCTGACCCTTAATCTCTTCCTGGTTTCAGCTTCGGTTTCTCAGCCTGCTGTTGCTTGACTTTGCGTTCACCCTAATCTCTAAACATGTAAACCCGGACTATATGTGTATGGCTTATAGAAGTTGGTGAGTGTCACTGTCCCTTGGGTTTCATGCAAGAAATGGGGAAAACTTATGTGTGAATGAAAATGTGTGTATGTGCAAAAGTGCTCCCCAAGCGTAGAGAGATTTGCAATGTCGTGTTTTACTTGGAATAAGTATTCCAAGGTCGTCTCCTCAGAGAAGATTGATCAAATTGTTGTGAAAGTGATTTTGTAAAGAAATGAAAAGTAAAAAATCTTGCGAGTTTGTGTTTTGGTGAATGGAGTTTTTGATAAAATTGCAAGGAAACAAGGTTGGCTAATCCGAAGAGATCATTCCAATGGGAATGTCAAATCAACTCAAAACATTATACTAATGATGTCTCGGTGCTTGATTGATTCTTAGAAAGTGAGGGACTAATGTGGAGGTGTAGACTTAAACATACCCCATGACAAGTATACGGTGTATAAAGAGCTCATAACCACGTTCGCACTCAACCTACTCAAACCAAACACTTTACACTACGATAAAGAATGACAAAGAGTTGATTTAGCATATCCAATAGGAAATCTCCCTTGGATTAGTCAACTAAAAACTTAGTTATCCATAGTCAAAACAATAACATACCTAATGTAAAGTGACATGGTGAAGAAATGAAGATTAAAACTTGTATTAATGCAAAGAGAAATTAAACTACAAAAACAAGCTCATTTCATATCCAAAAGTAAAGTTTGGAAGGGAAAACCCAAATGTAGACATGGTAAATACATTAATATGTAGCTAAACTTGAATACACTTGAAATAAAGGAGATTAAAGTGCAAGAAATAAAGATTACAAGTGGTTTAAAGCTCACTACAACTGAAATGGGGGTGGAAATGCAAAAACCTAATTTTCACTCTCTTAAACTTCATCTTCTTCATTAAGCTTCTCTCTCTAAAACTATGAGTGTAGCTGAATTATCTATAGAGAGCTCTCAATTTCATCCTTAACCCCCCAGGGTCTGTGTGAACTGAGTTGCCATCAATGGGAAGGAATCGGATACTTGTCCAAGCAAGGACAGGCCATGCCTTACCTTTTCCATGCTTCCACAACCACTCTCTTTCTCTCTCTTCCTTTTCCATGATTTTCTTTCCAAAGTCAAACCTTAGGTTTAAGAGAGCATGCTTGTATGTAGATGAGTGACTGTAACAAGGCTATTAATGAGCCTATGCATCCTCGAAACCACAAACTGACAGTCATAATTGTAAGGCATTAATGGTCATTGTGCCCACCATATGTCCTCGGCAAACCCCGAGCATTAAAAACACAAAATAGGTGTCCAGTGCCGACTAGAGAAACTTGAGTGATCGATGATAGCCATAAATGCTCGGCGCGCTCCCGAGCACTGGTCCTATCACCCGAGCATTAAATACTCGTGAGAATCAGAGTGACGAACACTCATTATGCATGAATAACAGTGCAAGTCATTAAACGTTGAGATGAGACTCCAACCCCTTGCACTCATTACTAATCCATGTATAAATACTCCTCAGAATTATGAACAAAAGTACTGGAACGAGATTGAAAAAAGATATAATGTACTCAAGCCTCCAATTCTTGTTGACTGAAGTTTCGGATGGGATAAGTCAAGTGTTCACCCGGCCTCTTTTATAACTTTTTGGTTATTTCAAGTTCATTCAACGAGAGGATCGCTATCTTTATTCATTACAGGAATTCTCCCATGCATGACTAAACCTGGAACTGTCAATGATGAGCATCACAATTTCAATTTTTCCTCAAGTTTTTCTCCAAACCCAGTCTCCCCCATAACTTTATTCCCACACTCAACCTATTTTAAACTTATTTCTCAAACCCAGTCTTTTTTTAAAAACGTCATTCCAAATTAATGTAGCTCATTTCGATTCCTACATTAGATTATAAAAATTAGCGCATACATCTACGATTAAAAAACATAGACCTGTTAACTTTGATCAATCATAGAAAAGTAAGAGAAAGAATGAGAGAATATTATTGAGGCACAATAAGCCAGAACAACCTTAAAGAAAAAATACATATAAGAAGTCTTTATTTAGTAAAACATATAACTAAACTAGGGCAACATAAAAAAATTAAATGACTAAACTACCGCTAAGTCTAAATATACTAACTACTCTAACACCCTCCCTCAAACTCATGATGGTAGCAGAAAACATTAAGAGTTTGTTAAGAAAAAAATGATCAGCAAGTAGCCAATGCAATCAAACTATCTCTGTTGTTGTCAATGTCATAGTATAATATTCAACTTCAATAGATGATCGAGTCACAACAGTTTGTTTCTTACTTTTCCATGGAATAAGAGAATCACCAAGGAAGAGACAGAAACCAGTAGTGGACTTGCAATCCATAGAGTCATCAGTCCAGTCCGCGTCAAAGTAAGCACAAAGTTCCAGAGACTTAGAAAAAGAAAATAATAAACTCAACAAATACTCCAAGTGTAAGCTCAACGAATTAAAACCCAAATCAGTAGCCCAACAGAAAGAAACTCAAATCAACAAACCCAAAAGATTACGATTGCCCAACAAAACAAAGCCCAACAACGGAAAGAAGAAAAGTCAAACAAACAACCCAATTGAGAGAAGTCCAAATCAACAAAGACAAAAAGAAAAGTCAAACCAACAGCCTAACAGAGAGAGGCTCAAATCAACAACGAGAAGAAAAAACAACCCAACGAAGAGAAGCCCAAATCAACAAAGAGAAGAAGAAAGCCAAACCAACAGCCTAACATTGAAAGACCCAAATCAGACAAATAGAAGAAGAAAAATCAAACTAATAACCCAACAGAGATAAGCCCAAATTAGACAAAGAGAAGAATGCCAAAAAGGAATTAAGATTTCTTACATTACAACAAGAAAAACTAACAGAAGAGAAGAGGCAGCAAACCCAACAACCAGAACTAACAATCTATGTAACAATTGGTTCACTGAGAAAGACCTAGGAACTAAAGCACAAAAACAACCAGCCGACACACAGGGGAGCACAAATTCAATCACAAAACAGAAAGAAGAAGGCACCAGTAAAGCCAATAGAGACCTCCCCAAAACAGAAACCAACCAACAGAAACCAAGAGTAGAAACTAGAATCAAAAGAAGCAGCCAACGCCAAACAATTCAAAGTTCGCCACAAATCAACTCAGCAACTTTGTAAATCAAATACTCATAACACATTGAGGCTTCTTATACAACAATACAACAAAAATGACATTAAACATCAAAATTCAGCACTGTTCACAGCATAAACAGTAACTTTGGCACTGTTCACAGCTCGTGAACAGTAACATCGATACTGTTCATAGCCCTTAGAACCATGTTAGCTCTAATATCACGTTAACTTTGATCAATCATAGAAAAGTAAGAGAAAGAATGAGAGAATATTATTGAGGCACAATAAACCAGAACAACCTTAAAGGAAAAATACATGTAAAAAGTCTTTATATAGTAAAACAAATAACTAAACTAGGGCAACATAAAAGAAATTAAATGACTAAACTACCCCTAAGTCTAAATATGCTAACTACTCTATCAAGACCAGCAACACAGAACAGGCAACAAAAGCCTCTTTCATGATTACCTGAAGACACCAAGACACATATCCATGCACCACCTAGCTTTATTTATATCTATACTACTTTTAAATGTCAATAGAAATGCAAAATTTTTTATTACCAAAATTGCCATTCACAAAATACAAAAAGACAATGGCATCATTTTCTAACATTTTTTTACTGGCCTATAAACAATAAGGGTTAGGGTTAGGGTTAGGGTTAGAGTTAGAGTTTACCACCCACTTGAATATGCTAGTTTGAAAATGCAATAACCCAAAGGATAATGGTCTTAAAGTTATTCTGGGGAGTTACAACTAATCTCTTGGTATTCCGTAATTAAGTTAAAGTATGATAAGTAAAAGAGGAACAGAGGTTCGATATGTGGGGGAATATGGTAGTGGGATATTAAACACTTGTATAAATGTCACAAGAAAGTCTAAATAATAATTGAATTAAGTAATCTCCAATATTTCAGAATATATAGTTTTTCAGGTCGTGGAAAAGAGAAAACTTTAGCCCCATACTTCTAGTTATGTTTACCAATCATAAACCAATTCCAATCCCGTGAGTTTAATTAGTCATACATATCATACCATTTATGTCCTCCAATTTCATAAGCTTTTTAGCCTTACTTTTGCGATACACATTGAACTCATGCGGTTATACTTTGGTTTTTGAAAACTTCTCAAAAACAATTTTATCTTACTATGATTCATGATAATAGAACTACACAATGGATGAAGTATAGAAAACAAACTCAATGACTCAACCCAAAACAAGACACTCAATATAGTTATATAGTTATATAGTTATTAAGCTGATGGTAACACCCAGCAATATTAGTTCGAACTAATTGAATAATGAATGGATAAACTTACTGGAATATTTATCCTGCATGAATAATTGCGACATATGTATTAGTCAAATGCAACTCACAGCTGCAGATGTGGCACATATTTCTCTGTAAGCTTCCACTTCATCAGGAAATGCCTGTTCAAGTTCCTCTAGAAGATGCCTTCGTAAACTCTGTACAGAAGATAGGCATGAAAATTAACATAACAGCTTAAGAAATTCACATAGTTTCTCATTCCATAACAAATTTCATCTTTGCAGCACAAATAACAGTACTGGTACACAAAATACTTTGGTGTCAAACTTATAAACCAATATATAACTCTCAAAGGGAGTAACCTAGCAGACACAGGGATAAGAAACCTAGGAGAGAGCTATAGCCATTATCTGGATTCAATTCTGCATACTGAAGCACGATCAAAGAAGTAGAGGGATTTTTGTGAGTAAAAAAATTGTAAAATATTTTACTAGACAGCTTTGAAGCTCATATTACGAAATAAGAACATAGTACTTGCACAATTAAGCTAAAGAATTCACACCAGAAAATATTTGAGATAAGGATTAAGTGCAGGATGGACATGCATATGTGGGTGCGTATGGCTGATGAACCGAGAAGGTCGGCCAGGCTACCAAAACTGAATCCCAAATATCAGGGATGAGGATGGACGTGATAAGATTTCTGTTGCAGGCAATTAGGAGATCAGGTTGAATGAGTCAGCATTTCTGTTTCTATTTCTTGTTATTCTTTTAATCCAGTAGTGCAGTAGTGGTCCTTTATCAGTGCAGTAGTGGTCCTTTATTTCGGCAACTTTTACGTAGAAGTAGTTGGGCTTTGCTTATTTAAGCAGCCTAAGACAAGAATAAAGGAATCCAAGGGAATTGTTATTCAGTATATTGGTTAGTCTCTTGCCATAAACAGAGATACTTTTGTGTGAATACTTATAAGGCTTGACAGGGACCGTCAATGGCAGTATGGGTGTTATTGATATACTGTAAAACAGAGTATAGCAAACCACGTTGTCATCTAGAAAAACGCAGGTTCTGACGATATTGTAAATTAAATTGGGTGTACAAAAGCAAACCTTGAATGCGTCAGTTGTGCCTTTGGTAATCTGATTCTTGGCAATGCAACTATTCAAGACATCCCCCGTGAATTCATCCGGATTCTTTCCATCATCAATCAAACTAAAGATTTATATAATACATCCATTATCAGAAATCAAAACCAAAAAGTCAATACATAAAAGAAGCAATAAAATTCATCCCTTTAGTTTGGGCAAAAAGGGGACATAATTGAGGACCTCCATAGGGACCTGAATATTGCAGTTCTCAGCCAATTTAGTCATGTTGTCGAGTTCTAAAACAAGCGTATTCCTGCAGAAACCCAATTCGGTCAGAAAACCTAAACACGTATAATTGCAAGAACTATTTAGGGTTTCAAGAACAATTTAGGGTTTCAGTAGAGAGAGAAAGAGAGAGTAGGTGCAGGCGTTGGAGGAGGAGGAGTTGAGAGGAGACATTGAAGGAAGAGACGGTGAGGTAGACCTGGTGGATGACGCCCAGCGTCTATGTATCGAATCAGTGACTTGGTTAAGGTTTTGCTTCGGGTCATCCGTAGCTGTTGTTGCCGTTGAATCCATGGGTGATGCGTCGTTAGATTGAGGGATTATATGCCGTTGCCACCGCCACTCCCACCAGTAGAAGCAGCCGCTGCTGTTGCGTCTTGCGATGATGCCATCGTTTTTGTGAGAGAGAGAGAGAGAGAGAGAGAGAGAGTTCGAATAGAGTTCCGATTGGGTAATTTGGTGGTTTATCTATAATATAAAATATAGCGGATTTCAACAAGCTGATCGAACGATCACAATTCATTTCATCTAACGGCTATCAATTTTTCTTTTATTTTTCCCCCAAATTCATCATTTTTCGTCCACAATTATTTTCAAAAAACTGATGTCTCTCGGTCACCTCACCTGTCACTGCCTCCCCTATGTCACTTTTTTTTTCGTCCTTTCTATTAGACAACTATCGCTTCCGTCTTTTCTTTTTTTTTTTTGGCCCAATCGTCTCTTTGTTTGTTTACTCCTTACCATTTCTCTCTCTCTCTGTTACGCTCCGCCGCCACCACCAACCCCTTCGAGGTATGCCTCATCTCTTCCTGCTCATTTTCTTTGTCTGCCTTCAATTTCTCCCTCATCCTCAGGTTTGTTCTTACGATTCCAAACTTTGTATACATACATTTTATGGATTGTGGAGGGTTTTTTTGCTTCCTCTTGGGATTGTGAATCTACCAATGTTGTTTTGAGCTTTTGTAATTGATCTATGTCTCTTTCGATTTGTGGCCCCATGGACCTCCCTCTTCCTTTTCTTCATGTTGTTCTGTCATGAATGATTTGCGATATTATTATTTTCCTAACAATCTTATGTTGAAAATCGGAGGATCAAGGATGATATGAGGGGAAGACTTGAGTTTCGGACTTCCGCAATATGAAGAGACTCTTCTAATTTTAAATTTTATTAGGTTTGATTACATCACCATTTTTTAGTTTATAAGGTCTTTCCTAATTTTTTGGCCGGTGATGGTGAATCTTAGGAAATCGAACCAGCATATAATTTTTAAGTCCAACAGTATATATTTTTTGGTGGTGGTAGGTGGTTATATAGGGTTTTTGGATTGATGGAAGGATTTTCAATGGTGGCAGTGGTTGGGATTTTGGTCAGTGATGGCTGTAGGTGGTAATTTAAGGTTTTTGGGTTGGTTTTTGGCAGTGGATGAAGTTTAAAGGTATATGTATCTAATTTGTTGGGGTTTTAAAAAAAATAATTACTGAGTTTTTATTATTGTGCCACCTATGGGTAGTTTTGGAATTTAATGAGAAAAATATAATCGCTTTTCAAAGTTTCACAGTTTGGCAAAGGAATTTTAACGGTCGGGGTTATGTGATGTACGAGAGCAAATCTTGAGGGATTGTGAGGTTATTTTTCATGTGATTTAGTGACAAATTTCGAATCTTAATGTAATTATCCTTTTTTTTTATATTAATACTGAAGAACACGTCTAACCAACCATGTGTTGTGTTTTTATTGGGTTCTGCTAACCAGAAATCCCACCTGGACATGTTCTAAATAAACACGGTGAAAAATATACCGTTTATGATTCCAAAACACGATTGTTCCAATTTTCAACTCTACAAAGGAAAATTTGGAGTCGGCGGCTGAGAATTTGTAAATAGCGTTTTTCGGGCTGTCAATCACATTTTATTGGCAGCCCCATTTTTTTGAACACAAAAGTCTGACTCTCATAGGAGGTAAGACATTGCAGTAAAATCAACCAACTGGGTCAAAACCCAGTTTTGCTCGTGTATGTTGTCGACATGAAGCTTCTAAATACCCTATTTTTATTTGTTTCGTCCAGAATCATAACCTCTGCTTAGTTTTGTACAGGTGGTTCTCATTAGTGTTATGCTTTGTGGGTGTTTCATGGTTTATCTTATTGAATTTGGTGGTACTTATAAAGCAGTAGTATAGTAGTGTTATGAGGATAGTAGTGTTATGAGGATAAGTTTGAGATTTGTACGAGAGTTTGTAAATAGCGTTGTTCGGGCTATAGGACATATTTACATTGACATTTTACTTCATTGTAGATGCGTGAACTATAGGATAGTGTTTACATTTATGTTATCGAGTCATTATATTGGGTGTTGGGTTCATTTATACAGGACAGGATTAGCTAAGGACTGCAAATGTAATTGTGAAAGTTTTTAATGTTAATTTGGGTGTTAATGACCTTTTTCATTACATAGGGTAGCAATATAATTTTTAGTGTTTTTGATTTAATATTCATTCCCTCTGACTTTTGTTAAGAATGAGCAATTTGTGCAGATTGATGGTTAACATTGACATTAGAATATGTGGAATTTGATTTTGATCTTCCTCAATTCTTCCACTGCTTAGAACAAAGGCGTAGCATATCATTATTGGACAGAACAGAATACCCCATATCTCTCACATCGTTGCGCAGCCACCCTCGCCTCAACCCATCAAAGTAAACCACCAACGTCTCCCAGCTCCACCAATAGTCATGTTACTTTCTTCGAGTCCAAATCCAAATCGTAATCCTAATTGTATTACTTAGATTGAATATCTTGGGGATGTGTGTATATGCTTTTGTTAGTTGTGACTATGGTTTTTGCTCCTACAATGAATTAAAGAGGTGAGTTTTTTTTCCTTTAACATAATTTTGGGCATGTGTTTTAGCTCTTACTGATTGTTGTTTGGCCATAGTCAACAACTCAAGGTGTAACTGAATAGTGGGTATTAGTAGAGGCCGCTCCATCTCCATCTCCATCTCTTTTTATTTTTTTTTCCTTTTCCTCCTTCACTTCTGACTCTCTCTCACCAACGCTAGAGACAGCTCCTGAGCCACCGCCACCGTCTTCCTATTCTCCCAGTTATCCCTCTTATTTTCTTCTCTCTCACACACGCAGACAGATAACACCCCTAGACCCCAGCTCTCCCTTTCTACGAACAACCCCTTTCTGCGCAAACCTCACCCTCTCCTCTTATACCCCCTTTGCACAAACCACCCCCCACACATACACGCGCACACACACAAACACAAAACACATCACACACACACAAAACACTCACAGGTTCTCTCTCTATCTCTTAGCCTACCAATGCCATCATAACCAGCAAAGCACCATTGTCACCACCATAGCACCACCGTCAAGACCATAAAACCATCTTCCAGGTATTTCTCTCCATCCCCTCTTCTCCCCTCTTTCTGTTTCTCACTGAAATGTTTGCTGAGATGCCCAAAACCCAGACCCCAATCATAATGCCCATGACGTGTTTGTTGAAATGCCTAAGAGACGAGCACAAGCAAATCACAGCTACAGCCACGACCACACCTACTGCTGTCTGCAAGCACATCTCTTTGCCACTCTCTCCTACCTTCCTTCTACCCTTCTCATACACAAACAACACACACCTAAACCCCCCAGCCATCACACACACAGACCCACACAAAGCCTCTCGGCCAACATAGAAACACATGGAACACATACTCTTTTATTTTGTTCAACTCTCTTTTCTTTCTTTTTATTTTACAGCTATAAACGGAGCAAAAAAACAAAATAAAATTGTATGACTGTTGGGTTTTTTTTTATAGGAATCCCATCTGTTGACAAATTTTCCATTTGTTAAAGTTGTCTTCATAGGAATCCCATCTGTTGACAGATTTTTTTAAGTTGTCTTCATTTGCCATTTGTTGGGTTTGATCTCTGCAATCTCATTCAAAAAATGTTTTCTATTTGCTTGAGTGCTTCTGATTTAATGTAATTCTAATTTAAAATTTAAAAGGTCGAAAAAATGAAGCTAAGCTGATTTTGAGTGCCTCTGATTTAATGTAATTCTTTTTAAAATATAGATGTCCAACCATTGGCCAATGACATCTATTGATGGCTGCGTGATTGTACCTCTGGTAGCCCATTCATCGTAGTATTTGAAAATCGTGATTCTTGCATTCTAATTCCATTTGGGGTGGATAGTTGTTATCATGTTTTGTTTTATTAAGTTTGTATAAGGAGGCTCATGACTAAGTTTTTGACTATTAATTAATGGGCAGTGGTTTAAGGTCTAAATTCAAGAACTCAGCATGATTTTGACGGGATGTAGCGACAAAGACATGTTTGTTTTCTCTTTACAAGCTTGCAAATTGGGTAAGAATGCTATGAAATGATGTTTGAAATTGATATTTCTTTGAATATGTTACCAAAAATTTTCATTGTTTGCTTAGTGTTACATGCTCTATTTGGTTGCTGGGGTCATAAACTTTCAAATGTTAAAAGGTCATAAAAATGATATTTCTTTGAATATGTTCTATATAAAGATATATAAGGTCATAAACTTTCAAATGTTAATGTTACATGCTCTATTTTTTTTTTTGTTAATGTTTCATTTTTTTTTCATTGTTTTTTTTTTAATTATTAGGACTTAACTGATTTTTTTTTAATTATTAGGACTTAACTCATTTGTTATGGTTGTCTTATAAGTTGCGGTAAGCAATTGCAATTGGCGATATTCTTTAATTTGTGATTTTTTGTTGCAATAATAACTAGGAATATATGAGATATTTTTGTGTGTTGCATGCATCGTGCTTGACGAAATATTTTCAGGCACTCTTTATGCCGATGGGTTAGGCTTAACCATTGTTTTTTAGCATTTGGTTAATCTTTCATCCAATGTTAATGTTTTTATTAATTTGGTGTTCTTGATTTATTTTCTTCAGGAGTTTTTCTATCGCTCTCTCTCTCTTGCACATGCAGCACCTGAACAAACCATAACACAAGGTATTTTTAACGATTTTGTAACACTATTTTTTGGCTAGATAAGAATTTACTTGCTTTCAATGATTATTAAATTTGCAGCATTCAATTTTTAGTTGTTCAGTGTAATGAGATCCTAGGATTCTATTAATGAGATCCTAGGATATTTTTAGTTGTTCACTATTAAATTTGCAGCATTAAACTTGCTTTCAAGGATTGATTCTATTAATGAGATCCTAGGATTCGGGATAGACACTTTCAATGCTTGGATAGGAACCATTGAAACACTTTTTTAGGTTGACATTATTACATGT